TGTCTCTCTCTCTCGCCAGCTTTTTTCTCTCTGTTTTCTTCCTCTTAAAAGTAAACCTGCTGTGGCGAACGAACCAGCTGCGGCCTCCCTGTCCAATATAGCAGTCAAATCAATCTATATCACCAACTACTCCCGGCCCCCTGGCTCGACGGAGAATAAAACAAAAAAGCACCGTCAGCAAGTCGCTGCATATTATCATCACTATACTCCGTACCGTCCATCGACCACCGCTCAGCTGGCTCCTTTTTCGCCCTCTGCCGGCCGTTTTAGCCCTGTCTAGCTTCCGGTCCCCGGCTGTGCCTGGAGCGGCGCGCAGAAAAGCTACCAGAGCAGCGCTTTTTCGCCTCAACCGCTAGATATTATTTATATATACACACACGCATCCCGGAGACAGGCCTGTATAGATCTCGACCAGCTCGCAGCAGCGCAGTGAAGCATGCGCCGTTGACGAGACGCAGCAAAGCCATGCCGAACACCGTCCTCTCTAGCATGGCTCCGGCTGGCTATAGTAGCGACAAGTTGTCCCTGAACCGATCGATGCTGGCCCCCTCGCCCACGCTGACGAACCCGGACATGATACTCCCTTACGGCGAAGGCCGCGAGTCCTCGACTCCTTCGCCGGCCCTCGAGGACCTGCAGCGGGCGGCGGAGCAGTCCAGGTTGCTCGCCAGCAGCTATTCGCTCATGCACCAGCGCAGCACCTCCATCTCGACCACCACCTCCTACGACCGCAACTCCCCCGGGCCCGACGAGCCTATACAATCCTACGCAGCATACGGCACGGCAGAAGGGTCGCCGCAAGCAATGGCCGGCCCCGGTGCGAGCGCGGGTGCGAGCGCGGGTGCGAGTGCGAATGCTGGTACGAATGCGGGTGTTGGTGCTGTGAACGGGCCTATGCGATCATCCCAGATGTCGGATATAGATCACACGATACGGACCCATTCCAGGCGGCAGAGCAGAGCCAGCAGCACCAACAGCCTCGACAGTCTTGTAGATCCCGCTGGTTCTGCTGCGCTCGGTGCGGGCAACGGCCTGTCCAAGCGGCATTCGAAACTCAGGGAGCTGCAGGACCTGCCGTCCGGGCTCTTTGAGCAGGATAAAGCGCATCCAGACGACGAAGGGGCGGGCGTGCTTGGAGGAGGCGCAGACGACCTGAGTGCTGTTGTCTTTGAGCCGGAGCACCGCATTCTCCCCATGGGCGCAATCGCGGAGGAAGATGAAGATGGCGAGGAGAAGACCGAGAGCTCAGACAGGAGTGACAGAGTCTACGATGAGCTCGACGAGCTGACCACTATGCTGGAGAATGCAAAGCTGAAGCTGACGGTACGTTGATTTTATACCCAATGTTTTTCTCCCATATACATATAACTAGTATTCTAATATTTGACATCTACTAGCATATGGAAGGCAACCTGAACCGCGCGAGGAGCTCGTTTCGCATGACGCCGTCGCCTTCGCCGTCTCTAAATCGGGCCTTTGGCAGCGCCGGAAGCTCATACCATAAGCATCTCCAAAAGGGGGAGAGGCGCTCTCAGACATCTCTTGCAGGCGCATTGCTACGCCAAAGGGCCCATCAGGGGTATACCGGCAATGCATCTCATCTTCGTGGACAGAGTGATCTCTGCTCTCCATCACAATCATCTTTCAACCGGCTATCAGGGGTGAACGGCCAATTTAGGTCGTTCAGTGCCCTGGGTTCAACCAGTGCTTCCGAGTATAGGACCGGATTCTATTCCCACGTAGAGGAAGAAGAACAAGACGATGACAAAGAGCCAACTACTGAAGCCAGCACATTAGTCCCTGAAGTTACCACCGACAGGTCCAGGTCACTGACTCCCTCTTCACAGTCGGCGCCTATACCCAATGGACAGTCAAGGACATCACCTCTTCCCAGTGGTGATGTCAAGAGCTCGCCTTCATCCTCAAAATCTCTCCCGTTGATCAACAAACCTGTTTCCCGCAGCCAGTCTTCAACTCCTCCGTCTCCTGCAAGTGCGCATCTTCAAATGCGCGGTCTACAGGGCCAAGTAGACGGGCTAAGATCAAAGCTCTCCACGCTCAAAGAAAGGACTCAGGAGGAATCGATACGCAGACGTAGCCAGCAAAGCCTACGTACTCCAAGTCCGTTCACTGTAGCGGATGAGAATTACACCAATCCTCTCGAATATCAAAGACGGTCCTCGTATCCAGAAACTCTTGCTACTCCTAACTACAACAAGCCACAATCTCCTCCCCCCGCGCTCCGTGAAGAGACGCATGATACCGCATGCACATCATCTCCAACTCTGCCTATCGAGGAAAAGCAACAGGATAATTTGGAAGACAAGGAAGATGCTAATTCTATGACCGTACCCGGCCCCATACAAGGCACCGCTGAAAGTCCCATTGAGGGTCCTGTCGAAGAGCCTGTTGAGGGGCCAGTTGAAGAACCAATCGAGGAACCCATCCAGGGCCCTGCTCCTCTATCCCCAGCTGGCAATGCTGCTAGGAAATCAGTTGAAGAAACAGATGAAAGCGAGTCCGAATACTTTGAATATTCGGATAACGAATCTGAACCATCTGAAATTGACAGACAAGAACTTGAAGAGATACTACGAGAACCAATGGGCAGCCCAACCGAATCCGTATACCAGGACATCCTAGAAGAATTCCCTTCTGTCCCACCAGTCCAGGAGACAATCCGTCACGAGGACCGTATCGATGCCTTTGACTACGAGCATTTCATCCTTCACAGTGCGCTCGGGACGTATTCGGGACGAATGAACCGCTCGGGTAGTGTCTGCTCTTCTGGATCAACTGAAACCACACGCCCGGAAGGCTGTGAAACACCAAAGAATGGGTCGGGGTCGGGGTCGGCTCTTTCAAGGGTAACTAGCAGCGACTCGATTTCAACAGATGCCACCTTTGCTACCGCAACTGAAGGAGACTATGGATACCTTGATGCTCTAACTTCACCCACTGGCAATGGAACCTACTGGGGAAGAAACCGACCTTCAAGTATGTAACTTTTTTTTTTTTTAATTATTATTTCTACCAGCTTCCATACTAATATTTATTATCACAGACCGGTTATCCCGCCAATTCACGGACGATTCGTTGACACTCCCCACCCAGCAATATTACGATAGTACATCAACCTTTTCCCGCACACAGTCGGCCTCCTCAACGCCTCGTGCCTCTATATCATCAGTCACTGCTGCAAAGGATGAAAACGCCGCACTATTAGCCTCCATCACCGAACTCAAAAAGGCCGCGGCTACTCCTCAAACTCCAGGCCTCCTTGTTCGATCCATCCTCTCCTCGGCTGCCAACGAGAAAGCCAGCGACGCCTCTGCACTATATTCTCCCCAGACCGGCAGTCTATGCGATGCCGATTCTGAACTTGTAGAAGCAGTCATCCAAAGTCTTGGAAACGTGAGCCTTGAGCTCCTTCGAGCTTCAACGGCCGACCTTCAATCTCCCATCGATAACCGGATCGCCACCATTCTACGGCGCAGACTAGATGCTGCCCGGAGGATATTGGATGGTATTGCACCATTAGAAACCATCCCCTGAGCCCATTTATTTCTCACGCCATTTCTTTTCTGGATATCCCACTATCAGACATATAATTTTGTTTTATTTATTTCTATTATTTTTTCTTCGGCCTGGCTGAACGATTTTCATTTGTTATAATACCACAAAGATTTCATTGCTGCGTTTATTTCTTTGATACATCTACTAGCTATTATATCCCCTGCTCTCCGGATTTCTGGGTTATTTTTATTTTATTTTGTTTAGTTATTTTTCTGGAAGGAAATCTTATATAAAAGCTTTCCTTTGGTATAACTACCCCTTCTATGGTTGGCCATTCCCTTTCCTCACTCCTTCCTCCCAGGATCCAGTTAAAAAAATATATTGTACACGAATGTTTAGGAACAAACCCTTGCATGGAAATATGAATACACCCGGCCTTGGGAAGCCAATTTTCCATGCAACTGCAACTTGAGCCACCGAGCGTACCACGAAAAGGATTAGAATTAAAACAAATAATAATAGTATTAGTAGAAGAAGGGTAATCATTGCCTGTAGCGGTCATATCATGAGGCTTCAAGTATGTACCGAGAAGCTTGCATCATCAGTCGTAATGAGGAAGATCAGATAAGACATGAATCGACGTTACTCATTCGAGAATTTGGCGGATAGAACCACCATCGACGAGTACTTCAGATCCAGGGAGCGGGAATCATTGGCATCGAACTCGGCTGCTTGACGAGCATGCAAGTATTGGTCTAGGAATTCATTGTTGGTAAGTACTTTCCCTTGCACGTCATAAATTTGAGGGAATCATACAGTCGACCCCAATACTGTCAAACCAACGATAGACATCCTTATCACTAATATCCCTGGCTCTGATAGCACCTGTAGGCGAGATGACAAAGGCGGGGGCCAACGACCTCATCTTTAGATGCTGAGAGACTACACCAGCAAATGTTTCGATTTGGGAGGCAAAGCATGAAGGCTGTCGTTCCAAGGGCCACTGTTTCTTCATTAGCACACTTACATTAGCCGTGGTGCTGGATAAGCCTCACCCGTTGAATATAATGCTCGCATTCCCATGATCGAAATAGCCATTCCATCCTCTCAACACAGTTAAGCAGGATGATAGTGGCCAAGAATGTTCGAAAACTACCAACCCGCTGCTTCTGAAGCAGTCGTTGCTCAAATTTGCTGAGCAAAACTCTGCATACTCTCGCTGCTCGTTTTTCGACGGCAGAGCGTAATTGCGTGCAAATCAGCGAATATGATTCTAACTGATTCATGCTATGTATCGGGATCCGGGAGTCGTTTGTTGTAGAGGTCAGCGGCCTGTTTGCCAGCGGAGGCAGAGTAGGGTTCATATAGACCGTCCATTTGAGGAACGGGTCCACTAGTATTGCAGTGGCTACCCATAACTCCAACGCTGCATCTAGCATATCATCCTAGTCTCACAAGTTAATAACCACCATCAGATATATAAAGGGGTAAGAGGCAGTGGGAGAAGAGCATGCCTCGTGTTGTTTGGCGAGTTCTAATGCTTGGCGAAGGGTCTGTCTGATAAAATCGGATTGTTCACCCTCAATGAACAAACTGGAGGTCTTCTGGATATACACATCAAGCTTGCCGCTCAGCTCTTCGATCTCGCCATCTAAAATATGCACGTAGTGCGATGGCCCTTCTAATATAGAATCAGCGAAAGAGGAAGGAAGCTGGTTATCAATTCCTTGACCGGCTTGCCGTTGACCAAATAGGGCGGAAAATGTAAGAAAGCTTAGCGAGTCTAGTTCGAAGTGCATGACCTCGATCCGACCGGCTGAAGGTTCAAACTGTATCTCACCCTTTATACTTTGGACATCATGATAGGCCATTGTTGAATGCAATCCTATTGCTCAGTTAGTATGGAGACATATTAAGCCTATACAGTGAGTCTACCTACCTATTGAATAGGACTCTAATTGGTTCATAAGGCGAGTTCTGATACAACACTCCATCCAAACTCGCGGATTCTGAAGATTCCGGCACTGGCCACAAGGTGTTCCAGCTGAGCACTGACATCGTGACAAACGTTAATATACCGTAATTGCACGTTAGAATAACGATTAAGGTATTCACTAACCGTTTTCTTCAACATCCGGCATCGGAGACAAGCCCCCATCTTTCTCACCACCCTGACTTCCTTCCGCCTCTCTTCAGAGAAAGTCGACCGTTTTTTATTTGATTTTTTGGTGTCTACAACTTCACAGAAGAAGTCACTATTGGACTGTTGAACTTCGGGGTTCGTGGTAAGGGGTCGAAGGTATGTTCCGGGCCGTTCATTGGAAGCCGGAGGCATACTCAATTCAGCAGGGATATGATTTTGAATCATCATTTCGTCTGCAGTTGGCAGTTCAATGGTAGGCGAAAGGCCGATGGTAGCCTGTGGGGGTGCGGTCTGGGGTGGAAGCTGCCACGCATCCGACTTTTGGTGGCACATGGCTGCTGATTCCAAAGAGCTAGAAGGGTCATCGGTCACCATCTCGTTTGCAGATGCAGCAATCAATGAAAGCTGAGATGAGTGATGGTCTGGGTGCGTGTCCACGGGCAGCAGGGAATGCACGGCAGGCATTGGAAGAGGCGACGTAGCATCCACAGAGGATGTTGAGAAAAAGGGAGCGGTTGGCGACGATGTGTGAATAAACTGAGCGTGTAATTCAGCTTCTAAAATAGGCATGTTAGCACATGGGTGTAAACTCATAGTATAAGTAGCGGTTATCATACCAAGACTGAACTTAGACGAGTTCTCGAGAGCAGGATCGACCACCATGTCGCGCTCAGCAGCACTGAGTTCCAGTATCCGATCCTGTATGTGTCCTTCGTTCGAGGCACCGACTCTCCTGGACGCCTCGGCAAGCACATTCAGGCCATTTAGACTGGGGCCGTTCTGGAAGTTTGCAGCGCGTTTCCCACGAGCTTGATCACCCATTGCCGCAGTATTCGAGCTAGGAGCAGGCTGGCTATTGCGCACAGCACCTTTATCTCGATATCTGTTCGCGGCAGCGCCAGACAGGTAGGCCACCCGATCTCTGTCCGCCGTGGAGATTGCCGGACATATCTTCGTGATGTGGTTGATTAGAGTATCCGGTCGGCCTTTGAGGAACTTCTCCCCACAGAGCTTACACGTATGCTCATATCTGTTGCTAGAGTCTGGCAGCTTCTCACCTCGGTGGAAGAACTCGGTGATAAGTGTGTTTGGCTTGCGGCCCATGGTGGTAGAGAAACGAGCCAGTCATTAAAAGGTCAAATCAAGTCTCGGTACGAGCTTGCCGTATCATAATTTAGGAAAGGAGAGAAACCCAGACGCGTCTTTGGGAGGAACCCATAGTCTCTCTCTGGGGAGATATCAATATACAGAAGAATAGCTACTACGGGGTACGAAGTAGCTCGCAGGAAAGAGCATGGGATAACTTTGACGAGAAAATTAAAAGATGAAGCGACAATTCTCTTGCATGGCAAACACCCGGCCCAGGTCAGCAGCTCCTGCTAGAGCGCGGTGTGCTCTCTCGCCTGCTGCTCTGCTTCCGGTCACCTTAATCGCTGCGCTGCGCCGTGTTGTTCTTCGTCTTCAACTTTTTGATATCTTTGAAATGGCAAAATCAAGCTCCCTGGAGGCGGTGTGTTTTCTGACACTCTCCGCCGCCTTTTCTAACCCCTTTGGGAACGGGAAAATATTTATCCGCAGATGCATCTCAACGTCGATTTCAACATCTATGCAAATACAACAAAGTACATACACTGGAGACGAAGCTGGATCAGACAAAAACTCAGCAAACTCGATGCTCTGGTGGCCTCCAGGGCACTGCAAGGAGCTCGAAGATTCGCTTCTCGTCCCGGCTTTCCAGGAGATGGCCGGCATTCAACTTCACCCGGCCCGGACCCCGCATAATATCTGAGAAGAGACCTCTCTGGTTTAAACACATACCCTTCTTGCTTGCCAGCAACCGTAGGCTCCGGTTGAATATATCATTGCCCGTGAAGTAAATCAGTGCAGCGCCGAGTTCGTCACCGGGCACAAATAGCAGGTCTATACGGCGCCATACAGGGTTCCCAGGAAGTGCCGAAGCACCATGCCATTTTGACCCATCTGCTCGTGAGGACACGGCAAGTCCCGTCTTTAGGAATCCGCGTTCAAATAGCTGGGGAACGACAACGGTCATGATCTGGTCATGTATCTCCTGCAGACTGACTCCTTCCTTGGTTATAATGAGATCGATGTCTCCGCTATCAGCAGCTCCGCGTCTGTAGGAGCCACCAGTAATGACGGTATAGGAACTATCCATGGCTACAACAGCCTCCCGCACAATAGCGCCATGTGCCTCGACTTCTTCTCGAGGTATCCGTTTCTGAAAATCATCATACCGTTCAATCCCAATCTTTTGGTTAGTAGTTAGATTAGCTCGGTTCTTCAAATCGTCCAAGGATTTATACCCCTGTGCAACCCATTTGGAAGCTTGTTGGTATCCAACACCGTATATGTTAAGAAATTGGGAGAGCAGGGCATCACTTGGTTCCATGTTCGCTTGCTCTAGTCGCCGGAGCCGATTAGTCCATACAATTTCCTCAATTTTGGCCGCCAGGCGTTCACCTATTCCTTTTATCTTCAAGGCCTGGCTTTTTGACACTACTTTATTACGTTCCCTGCGTAGAGCAGCGATTGCACGCCGATATGCAAGACACCGCCATTGGTCGGCAGTTCGTTCATAGTAGTTAAGCATTTGCTGCAAGACTTCGATTGTGCGAGCGTTGGGATTGTCTGCACGGTCTTTGCCATCCATTTTATTCATGCAGGTGAATGATTTCTGCCATGAAGGACAGTCTGTTGTGAGACCAGATTGAAATCCTCCTGGGACAATTTCATCATCTTCCTCATCAGAGGAATCCAGAGGCTTACTATATGTTAGTTGATCAACTGGGCTATTTTAGCGGACATGTTGACTCACGAGAGCAGCTATATTTTTCACATGTCTGATTGCTATATCTAGGTGATCTGGCTCAGATGCTTGCATACCATCCTGGTCAGCCGTATCTTTGGCCGGAAAATCGGGAAGATGCCCTGGAAGTATTGGAACCGCTTCTTCAGTGGACCTGTCGCCAACCTTTTTGGAGTCGGTACCTCGACTGGAATTTGCAGGAATGCAATCATGTCGTCGTTCGCCGCTAGATATTCCATGTGGTTCAGACAGCAACTTCCGTTTAATTTGGAAGCGAGGGCTAGAAGCATCCAATATTCTCCGGTTCATGATACATTCTGATGGATAGTTCTCATTTACCAGGATAATATTGGCCTAGACAAGAGCGTCAGGTATCCAAGGATTGCCATGGTTCCACCCGGGAGGCTTACTGGGACAGAGGACACTTGAAGATACTCAACCACGTCCTCGTAATTAAGCCGCCTTTCAGCAACTATATGTGTGACGGAGGCATCGAACTTTGCCGCGCGGGTTGCTCCAAATTTAAGGACCCTTGAAATGCGAATTCGTCTAGCCTGTGATATGTCATCATTAGGTATAAAATCTGCGAGCTGGTTAGCGTTCTCTTCTATTATTACATTTCCGTGGCAATTTTCCTGGTGACTTACAAAGTACAAGGCCGCCGAGAACTGAGGGATGATCGTTCACAGTATTAAAGGATTCCTTGGTCTTCTCTCGCCTGCCATCCTTAGCCAACTTCGGCTTCTTATTAGGCTTTATTGAATGATCAAGGCCTGGTACGCCCACTGTCTCTCTTTCAGAGGCTTCCCGTGGTAATGCTTTCTCTGAGATCGCATTCGGGTCCTCAGTACTGTTGTTGTTAACTTCTCTTCGGCGGCTGTTTCGTAACGTAGATAGAACACAATCATCATCCTGATCCTCCTTATTTGAAGCGTAAAGCTCTCCACAGAAAGTTTCCTTGTCCATGGGTATAGATATATAAGAGTGTCATTATGCCCGATCAAATGAAATGACTACTGTGGCTTTAAATATATATGTCTTCTCTCTCGCTAGGCCCCCTTGCCCCAACCGTGAACCGTGGTTCCAGGCAGCGAGATCGACTCTGCTGGCCAACAACGTGATGGCTCTGAGCCCGAGCAACTCGCGGCCGTTGAGCTTCAAGGTTTGCTACAAAGCGCATACATAACCAGCAGCGCAAACAAACGAGCAAGGAAGCAGCCGTCGGTGCAGTGAAGAGAGGTTTCTATTTGATTCTTGCTCAGACGGTCATTGTGAGCCCCAAAACTCTGCTAGAACACAGAATTGTTCACTCTAACTAAAAGCATCTAGATCTTCTCGTTTCTATCGAAATGGGCCGACACCAGGCAGTATCCTCGCTCTTTGAGATTGGCTTGCTTCGCCGGGGCTGCTATAGCACCAAAGGTCTCTCATCATACCGTCAATTCAGCTCGTCAAACCAATGGCGGCAACAGCAGACACAGCCGCAACGACAGCCGCAATCCCGACAATTGAATATTCCACCAGCAATTGAACAGAACCCTGTGGCCTTAAACACGCACGAGGTTAAACAATTCACACCAAAGCCCTTAAAACGACCGCTAGGGCTACAGTATGCTCCCGAAGAAGGCCAGAATACCGGTGTTGACACAAGAACATTGCGACAGCGCGGAGGAGACCTTGTGGATAAGGAGAAATACCAACAACGGCAGTCAGAACTGTAAGGGAGGGACCATTCTCAAATATATATTTCCAGGAGTCTATACGCTGACCAAATACAGGATAAAAGAATATAGCAAGCCGTACTACCGGGAATGGCACCGAATGAACTACCACAGCGGAAAGGTATTCATCTGCAACCCCAGATTATTTAAAGAGGATTTTTCTCTATATTTTCCCAACCTGTTTGGCCGAACTCTTCTACGATCCAACCCAATGCAGCATACGACGCCTGTTCTGCGCGGCAAGATATCCCTTGTTCGGGTGTTTGCTAGCCTATGGGCGGAGAGCCAAACCGTTACATTCGTTGGTGAAAAGGAAAACCCAGAACTACAGAAAATAATCGCCGATGCGGGCCCCTTAGTCCAGAAGGTTGATATCAACAATGAAGATAACTGGCTCAAGGCACTCCTTGTGCGGTTATTCATGGGCAGTATGCGACGAAAGATGCCAAGTGAGCAACATGGGCGGTACTTTTTGGTCAGGAAGGGGTTTACGAACTACCTGAAAGATCAAATAGGAATGCTTAATGGGAAAGTTGGTTACGTTTATCTTTTGGATGAGAATTGTAAGATCAGATGGGCTGGAAGTAGTATTGCCGGGGCCGAGGAGTTAGAATCCTTGAACAGGGGCTTGCAGAAGCTGGTAAGTGACAAGCGTGCAAGCCAGGAAATGCCGAGGATCATCTCAGCAACAGAGATACAAAAAGCCGCTCAGACGGCTTAAAGCGAGCGTTCCATTTTAAGATATTGTACGATATTGTATATAGACATTAGTCACCGTGTATAGCAGCAGCGGAAACTTGGGGCATCAAAAATAACAGACAAAACGCAAAAAAAGCATATCATATCATACCAAATCTCAACGCCTGCTAAACTTATGACCTGGAAACGCCGCACGCCGCATCAAATTATACACAGGCCGAGGTATGGCGATCAATCACCTGAAGAAAAACACCATTAAACAACAGATTCCGATAAAGGTGCCTAAGATGATCCCGTCCCGTCTTCTCTTGGCACTGATCTTGTTGATTAGATTATTGACACCGGGTATCTGGCTGGCCGCACCAACAATGCGACGATTGATGCTGGCTAGAGTTTCTCGCTGAAACCCGAAGCTCTCATTGACGGCGTAAGCTTGGCTCAGCACACTGTCCATCATGTTGTGACTGTTGTCGAGCCGCCCTCTCTCCTCAAGCATGTAGTCAGCCTCTGCTCCAGCAGGGTTAGATGCCCGGTACGCATCTATGTCTGATCGAACATTCGAAAGTAGGTTCACACGGTCTCGAGTATCTGATATAGTAGCCTTTAGACGCTTGAGTTCTTGGCGGTGTTCAAGGAGGACTTCCCGGTGGCGGGAGAGGTTGTTCTGTTTTAATGCGGAGGCAGTCAAGGCGGACTCGGAGTCAAGCAAACGGGAGAGTTGTGATATAAGGGTTTCTCGCTAGAACGGTGCACGTATGATTAGTCCACAGTTAACCAGAAGAGCGAGCGCGGGATATCTGTGACGTACCCTGCTCAAAATATCCTGTATCTGGGCTTCCAGCCTATTCTCATCCTCCGATGGTTTTGACGGGAGCTGGCTCATGGAAGCATACTGGGCATACGAATGGAACAGAGACTCTGTCTAAAGCATGTAGCATTAGCAAACTTCCAATATCCCAGCGCCAACGCATCTATGATGCTGCCTATGATATAATAACATACCTGAGTCTCAAGAGACCGGGCCTGTTGCCGGAGCTGTGCCCACCCCGTCCCAGTCGAGGTTGTCATGGTGTCTCTCAGGCGATATTGTATATCAAGTTAGACCAGCTATCACCCAATAATCACATATCATATACCGTCGCCTGCACACTGTGTTGTCTTGTCGTTGCTAGCTTGTCGTATCTCCTTCGCCGCCGTCTTCATCTCCATCTTCGATCGCCAAAAGATGACCTAATCATGACTTGGCAGTAATTCCACGTGATTGCTTACATCAGTCCGCTTAGAGAATCGCGAAAAGGGAAAAAAGCCCTAAAGTCCCACAAGTTCGACATTTCACGAGGAGAAACTTCGACATTCAGCTTCTTCAAGGTCGGCATCAATATCGACAACATCTCAACCAGTCACCATGGTACGTTCGAACACGGCGAAAAGAAGGGCATCCTATTGCGATTTGAAGCACCATTGCTGACCTCTGTTTTTTTCTTCCGTTTAGTCCGCCAAAGTCAAGACCGGCCAGCTCTGGAACAAGAGCAAAGACGACCTCACGAAGCAGCTCGATGAGTTGAAGACTGAGTTGGGCCAGCTCCGTGTCCAGAAGATCGCTGGAGGTTCCTCTTCGAAACTCACCAGAATGTATGATACTACGCCCAGTCCTTGCAGATAATTTTTGCTTTTGAGGAGAAATTTGGAGTCCGGAAACGAAAAGAGCGGGAAAGAAAGCAATACACCGGAAGAGGATTTCTGGAAGGCCATGGGATTGCGATTCAGGTTATAGGACGACAGGCTGACATGGACGGGTTTGAATTGAATAGTCACGATCTCCGCAAGTCCATTGCAAAGGTCCTCACAGTCATCAACGCCAACCAGCGCTCACAACTCCGCCTCTTCTACAAGAACAAGAAATACCTCCCACTTGACCTCAGAGCAAAGAAGACCCGCGCCATCCGACGACGACTCACCGCACACCAGGCCTCCCTCAAGACTGAGAAGCAGAAGAAGAAGGAGATGCACTTCCCTCAGAGGAAATATGCCGTCAAGGTATACCCCCTCCGCAAACGACACTCGTTGACAATAAGTGAACGGAGAGCAATGGAGATACTAACATCGCTTCTTACTCAGGCATAAATGTTTCCTTATTTTCCTCTGGTTCAAAGTTTCAAAAAGCGGCGCATTTTCCTCTCCGGTTGAGCTTGCTGCGTCTTTATGAATAGCTGTGGATGTATCAATAGAAGATGCAATGACGCGGCAATTTTATGAAAAATGGAAAAATAATTCATTGAACTCCAGCTCTTCCAATGATTCCCTCCCTTCGACGTACTGCTCGATTTTAATATTGCTGAGAAGGTGCACGCTTTTCTTACGTGAGCGAACTGGCTACTCAGATGTGGTTCATATTAGGTGCCAATGGGCTTTGATAGAATCATCTACTATTCAGGAAATCGCAAAAAGTGCTCATATTGAGCCCCAAACCGTTGATTAAGCTAGTATTGACCAAGGAACTAAGTAACCGCACCAATGATACCTTTAAACGATACCCGTAAGGGATAATAGACGTCAAAAAGAAAATGTCGTGCTAGATCGTACATGATTATCCTGGCTGTCTCCATCCTGGCAAAGTAGTAGAGCCTCTTAGGTTGCTAGCATTGCTCATAGACCACATTCCACCACAAGTACAAGCTCGGAGAACAGCAGTTCTCATCAGCATCTTCACGGCTGCCATAGACTTCGGTGGAATTTCCTCTGATATCGCACAGCATCGAACACACCTTCGGCTTGGCCGTACAGCACCCCTAGATTCATCTAGAGGTATTAACACTTTTCGAAGAATATCGATCTCGTACTTGTGTCTGAAAAGGTCTGCTCTCTTGTCATCGCCAACACCCAGCCAGCTGTAGTCTTGTAAAAACAGATACATGGGGTTGGCTTCATTCCGTATCATGGGAACCGTCTTAGTAAGGATTGCAGTCACTGCAGGCTGTAAAACGGGTGGTATACTGCCATTGATAAGTAGGTCTCGTTCAGGGGCTGCGCGGTCTGCGTTGTTGAAACCCGCGTTTTGATAGGCGTGTTTAACGTCAGATTCAACACTTGCAAGAAGCTTCTCATATACATCCACTTTTAGAGCAGATTCTGTGATCAATGTCACTATCTGAGAATAGATTTGGTAGGATTCATTGCTCAGATTCATTGCATTCCTGAATCCAGTAGTGAGGCCACGGAGACCGCGGCATATATATCTGAGGAATGAACGCGGGATGCTTGAGATAATGAGGATTGTCGAGAGTGATTCACATAATTTTCCTTGGAGCGAGGCCTACGTCAGAGTACAGTATAACATGAATTGGCGGCAATTTCCTTACCTGATGATGACCCCGAGTCTTGGCTGCTAGACTGGCTGTTTAGATTATCAGAAATCTCGAATAGGTCATCAACGATGTATTTAGCCAGGTCGAGAGCCCATTTCACATTTCCCAATGTTATTCGTAGTGTTTCTATTCTTTAATTAGTACATACGTCTCTAACCATGGAGCTTGCCATTAAACATACCAGGATCATAACACTCGACATCAGTACCAGCTTTATTGAAATGTAGTATATATGTGAGTAAGATGGATATTTGTCGAAGTTGTAGAGTCAGCCACGGAACAGCAGCTGCAAGGTTACGGCGCTCAAGTCGGTTCTTAAACCCAAGTGCAGCCTGCATACTGAAGCATTTCAGGATATATGGGTTATTCATGAGCTTGTCTTGCTCGACAGTAACATTCATCGACAAAGCTCGATAGACTTCATCTATGAATTTCTTGTGAGAATCTATCGCTCTTAAAGTTAGCAATGTGTTCTAGAAGGCGAGTAGATATGCAGGATTTACCTTGGTTGAGCTGCTGAATAACAATCATTAGTATATCATCATTATTACTGTCGCTGCTGCAAGCTCTGCAATAAGCCATGGTGAGAGCAGCAAGTGCACTCATGAATTTTCCTTCAAACTCATTAGCTTCTTCGTAAATATCTTGGAGGTAAAGATATGCAGCACACACCATCATTAAACAAACCATCTTGCTCATGACCAAAAGAATGCTCCATCACACGCATCTGGACATGCGATTTTTCATCAAGAGATGCTGCAATGCAGCCACTTGGTGAAAATGAAATATGAACGCCTTGCATGGACGTTAGCAATGCTATCCAAAGCATAAATCAACTAAGGGCAGCTATATCATACTCGGAGAAATTGCGGCAGGAAAGGTAAAGCCAGATTGTGGCAGGCTGGTAACAGTTTCGATATCCTCAACGCCAGATAAAGGAGTAAAGCCCTTTGCATCATAAAATGCTATATTGCCATCATCGGTGGTAATAGCAAAGATATTTCCCGTCTCCATGTAGTCAATGGAAACTATATGTCTGTCAAAATATGTATCCGCCTGTCTATTTAACTCGGTGCTTGGCTGAAAGGGAATATAATTGTCAGCTGGATCAATAGGCAACAGTAATACGCGCATAGACCTACCAGGAGTGGATTTCGAGGCTGTTTCGATACTATGCTATCGAAACTCTTGTGAAGATTCTGGTTGACCGAACGAAGCTCCCACCTAGCAATGACACTGGGATGTTGTAGGTGAGACCGCCCATGGATATTGTGTAATGGACAGGAAAACACGGCTAGTATCATTGGTGCGGTTTGCCCACCAGGAGCATCCACCGGACAGGCCACTACCTGCAGGTGCGTAAGTGCAAATAGTCCATTTGCATTGTTGGTGATGTTGTCTTCGTTCCCTATGACATATGTTGAGGGTGATGGTACAACAGTTGGAATTTCAACCTCGATGTGAGCCAACTGCACACTGGGCACCGCAATGGAATTGTTTGGTCGTTGGGTATTGGAATCAACTGGTGTGCCTTCCCATTTGAGCATGGCACGGTAGAGCCGTAGTTCATTTCTCGCTGAGTATGTGACGATCATAATTCCTCCGCCTTGAAAACATGTTAGATGGAAAATCCATAAGACGGTGCGTAGTGACTACCGAGCATATAACTTACCATCTACCGGGGTCATGGATGCATGCGTTAGAGCATCGTCAGTATAACCTGTGTTCTGTAGCTCGATCACCATATCCCCCCATTTAGATTCCTGGTTTTGATAAAGCAATTTCAACTTGCCAGATCTCGTAACGACAAACAAAGCCAGCTTATGCAAAGGGTGAAATGGCCCCATTGGCCTGCGCGGGTATCTAACATAGGCCCATCGACCACTTGCTCTGCCAGCGTGGCTAAATGTATGCACCTTCAGAAGTAGGTCAGCCAAAAACAAATATATCAAAAAAGTCATCCACGAAAAGAGCAGTAATGGCACAGCAGGATACGCACCGAGCGGTTCAAGGCAAGCCACATCAGTCCGACAGGCTGATTCCCATCGTCATCAGGGTCCAAGGCTGGCGGACGCGACTGGATCAGAACATTGAGGCCAATCGACATTCCAACGATCGATATTCGACCGCAGGAGTCGACAACAGCCAGGTCGGTCCCAGGCTCATTCCAGGCAAGATGAACCAGGGTATGGCCAGTCTGTGCTTCAGCAATGGGGTGCTCATGGTCTCCATCACTCAGGCTCCATTTGCCGTCCTCGGGACTGCAGTTGAGATTCCGTAGAAATGCCTTTGACCCGTCTGGGGCGATGTAGGCGATTGCGCCAGTCCTGGACCAGGCGATTTTTCTTTCAAACCCAGTCAGCGAGGAATCATTGGCAGGCATAATAGCAAGTAGCAGCAGAGTGAATTCAGGGCCTAAGAGTGCAATCTATACATACTGGCAGCATCCTAGGATCCGAAGCTCATCAATGCGAGCAGGGAGTGCCTTCGGTGGCACAGGCGCCGACAGGCTCAGGTCCAGGCCGCCCGAGTCGCCGAAGAGGTCGTCCAACGTCTCTTCCATTTTCTTATCTGAGCCTCTTCCGAGCAGTAAATCATCAGCTGGATGCGGTTTATGGTATAATCATTGTGTTTCCGGCTGTTGTTGTTTGTAGACCTGCTGCTGGTTGCCTCGCCTGCGAATCTCAGGCCGATTGACGTTTTGTTTGTGGTTTTGGTTAACTTAGTTATTCGACGTTCGCGCCAGAAGAAAAACTGCGAATAAAAAAACACAGCCAAACCAGCAGCACAACGCGGGCGACGATGAATCGTTTGATGAATTAATTAACAGCTACAGGAGACTACAGATTCACTACTGGATATATTCATACGGGCGAAAGTCTTGCACGGGTTTTTATAGGAATATTAATAGTTAATGGATTTCAAAACGAACGATGAATGATTTGTATAACAGCTCTCTTCGGCTCTATTACAATCATGTCTGCCACAACGCCAACTCCATGAGGTCTCATAAATATGAATAGATGGGTAAGAGATAAGGCCGAGTCCCAGCAAGAGGCAAATGAGTAGCCTGGGAGGCGAAGAAGAAAGGGGAAAGAAGGGCACAAAAAAAGAAGAAGAAGCACGACGCCAAATGGTAGAAGTACACACCCGTCCGCCAGCAACATATCACAGGGTATCTCGTATTGTTGCAGGACTCGCTCAGAAAAGGTGGGTACCGAAGAGATGAAGCCGTTAATTAGAGAACTTATTCATCCGTGGGGACGACGGGGTTGAAATTGGGAGAGAAGTGGCCGTTTATGGGATGCCGGATTATGTACCAGTAAGTAGAACGAGAGAGTCAATATACACGGCTCAGGTGTGAACAGCATTACTCTCTTTTTTCGTCTCTAGCTCCAGGGGCGCTGGGCCGTTGCTTCGAGCAGATTCAGGAGCAATTGGGTTTAGGACATCTTCGATCTTGCAACGGGGGGTGACCTCTTTTACCACCTTAGATTCTTTGGCAGCGGTAGGCTTCCTGCTGGGGAACGCCTTGTTGATTGGAATAGTCTTAGTAGAAGCATCTGCAGGCTTTGTCTTCTTCGCCCTGGGTTTGCGCGGCTGGTTGGACTTTTTGATAATCTTGGTGTTGGCGCCCCTTGGCTTGGGAGGAGCACTGGGCGTGGGACTCTGTGACCGTTTGCCGGGGTTGACGGAGTCCTCAGAGCTGGAAGATGGCGTAGGCATGCCGTTTGTAAAGTCGGCGAACTTGACGGGTTTCTGAGGCGTGATGACAACGGATATTTCGGTATTCCCTGACTTGGCGCGGTCAAACTCTTCTTCGGTGCACTCGTTGAAGGAGCGGTCATCGTCGTCCCATCTCTTGAGGCCGGCATGGAGCGCAACCTTGTCACAGTCACCCTTGATGGCCAGATCCCAGCAATCTTCAAACTCCTTGCCAGAAGGGAGCGGGTCGTGGTTGATCCAAACGGTGGTCCCGTTTCTCCTGCCTCTCACGACACGGCACATTTCCTTGACAATGCGTCGTACGCCGGGAATCTTGAGACTGGTACCGACCACGACAAGCGCATCGGGCCTGGCGCGTAGATCAGCACTAACCACAGAACCTATGGCTTCCTCGTCTGGGTTGTACTCGTTATATAGCACCATACGAGGCCGTAATTTGCCGATACCACGGCTCCGCTGGCCAACAACAGTTCTAATTTTCTCGTTCTTCTCACACTCGGCACAGAGAGGAGGGTCGGGCCCCTTGAACAAATCTGCTTCGAAGCTGGAAGCCTTGCTACATTTCTGGCAGACCATGGTGTGCAGGCCGCCGTGGAGTTGAATAGTGGTTGGCCAAGGGCCCTTTACCTCGAGCGGCACTTTGGTCTGCAGCGGCGGCAGGGAGGCTTCGATCCCGTCGACATTTTGGGTATACAAGCGTAGAAGCCGTCCTTCGTGTGCCAGACGAGCAAGTAGATGGTGAAATGCAGTAGGCTTTGCAGATGCGGAGAGCTTCGACAGCGTCCGCACCATATCATGGAACGACGAGATCATAGATTCATCCTGATAGACAACCGATGCGTCGAACAGCTGCTTTCCCGACGCCTTCAGCTTGTGGTCCTTTTTCAGCGTGCTAAACAGGCCATGAGATGACCGAAAATCGGGAACTGCAAGTGTTTGACCCTCCGTCAGTCCAGCCCAGCTTTGGATAAGGGGGCAGGAGGAGGAGGGAGTCTACAAGGAAAACTTACTTCCAGCAGAGACTGAGATGCCAGCGCCCGCCACCACCACGATCTTGCGGTGCTCACGCAGCGTCCGCAGCAGCAACTTCAGCTGCTCTTCCTGGCCCGGGCAGACTTGCTTGTCCGGGTACGTGAGGTCGAGATGTCTGGTGATTCTGGGCTTCGGCTCGATCTTGCGCTTCTTGCGTACCGGCGCAGATTCCACCGTCCCGGCGGCCTTCGACGCGGCAGCGGGCTGGGCCTGGCAGGTCTGGGACTCCGGCGGAGAGGGATAGAGGCTGTCGTCCGACGGAGGAGTCGACGGGAGCGAGCTGAGCTCTGACGAGGTGTCGGAGAGCTCAAAGTCCATCGTGGGCGCGAAGACGCGAGCGCTCTGCAGGGTCGGAGGCGAGGCGAAGCTGCGGTGCGGAGGAGGCAGAGGAGGCGCCAAAGCCGTGTCTAACGCGTGCCAGCTGGTCGTCTTATAGCGGAACCATCGCCATTGGGGGAGACGCGGCCGGCAGAGAGTCGTTTGGGGGGGCTGCGGTCGCCCGGTGATGGTGCTGGCGGTGGTTGTTGGCTGGATTGTGTGTGTTGTGTGAAGACGCAGCAGCAAGAAGAAAAAAAAGTCGATGACGGAGTTTCGATGGCGAACGCAGCGGATTTTCCTTTCTAGCGCAGAAACGCAACCAAAACAAACAACAAACGGGGCTTGCTTGACCTTGACTGGGGGGAGGGCCCAGGGGGAGGGCAGGGGGAAGGGAGGACGGCGGCGGGAGGCTACGCTCGACGGCTACGGGGGATGCTTGATGCTTGTACGGAGTATTGAACAGAGAACTAGCTGCGTACGGAGTAGATGCTGCGAATGGAGGCGTAGCTGGTGGTCTATCTAGTTATTTTTTTGATTGATGATTGATCTTCCCTCGCCTCAGTCGCTGTCGCTGTCGCCAGAGTCCTCCCCTGCGGCGGCTGCCCGTCTCTGCGCCGAGTCGCTGTCCTCTATCCGGTCCATCGTGTCTTCTTCCGGCTCGCCCTGGGACTCTGTCTCGTCCTCAGCCAGCTCGTCCTCCTCCTCGTCCTCCTCGTTGCTGAGGTTGGTGTCGTCCATCGGCTCCGTGTCATCGTCGTCATCCAGCGCCTCCCCTGGGTTCCGGCTACCGGTTTCCCGTGCTGTTGCACCGCCCGTGGACGACGTGCCAGAGCCTGCTGCCGCTGTCTTCTTGTCGTCGCCGTCTCGCTTGAGGCGCTTGCTTCCCGGCTGGTCATCGTCCTGTCCGCCGCTGCCATCCTTGCCTGGCTTTCCTTTCTTCTTTGACTCGCGTTTATTGTTCATGAGAGCCGTGTAGGCCTTGAGCTGTTGCTCTAGATGCGGCCGGAAGTCGCCGAGCTCGACCTCTGTCAATGCCGCAAGCACATCCTGTGGTGTCAACGTCTTCTTGTCCGTCATGTCATTTGCACTGTACACACAAATGCCCATTAGCTATTTATTGATACATAGAGACCGAGAGACCACGGGCGTCTGGCCAACTTACTGTGAAGATATGTATGAGACAAATACTGTTGCAGCTTTTAGTATGGCCGTGACCGCGTCACGCTGGACTCCAGTACCGGGTGGCAGCATGTCCTTTGCCAGCCGCATTATAACGCTTCGAGGGAGTAGAATATCCTAAACAAAGACAGACACGCAGTTGTGTCTCTCCTTGTCAGTCCAATGGTCATACAGAGTGGTCGTAGGCAGTGCTGCTGGAAGTTTGGACACTGGTAGGTCAGCTCTACAGAAGTGCTACCCCCTCAAGAGCACCATCTAGGGGGCAGATGATATGCCCAAAACCACATGTAAAGGAAGCAGGCATAGCTCACATCAACACCCAGCCCCGTCTCTGTGCCTTCAGAGCCTGGCGCATTATCACCGGCATCTGTCTCGCCTTGGGTATTTATTGGATCTCTGCCGTTTGGTTCGCCCGCCTCGTTTGTAGACATTGTGAAAAGAAAAGAAAAAGGGCAGCACAGCAGCTATCACTGTATTCAATCGAATAAGCTAAGCAGCCAGCAAGGCCGATCGATCTCTCTCCCCGTCGTCGGCGTTGCTGGTGGAGGGAGGTTGTTTCCCGGAGCGTGGGCAAGTTCGAAGCAGACGAAGCTGGAACCGAGTTAGCTACAGCTCGCCACGAACACACACAGGGCCAAAGAAGACGAAAAATACCTTGAATCCAAGCAGTACCCCTGTGTTAGCCGTAAGGTATGCTGGTTGCCTTTAATGCGATTGCTGGATGATGGCTAGTTATGGCGGGATGTCACTTGCGAGCAAAAAGTCCCAAGATTGGGGATGATTTTTTTTTGGCTCTGCCAACCCTTGGAGAAGCTCGACTTGCTGGAGCTGCAGCGTCTATCAAACGTCTATTATTCATGCGTATACAAGGGAGAGATAATACAAGATATGTACGTTTTAAGAGAAGACATTGACTGCTTAAGAAAATACCCGCGGCAGTTCTTTTGTGCGCCGCGAAGGGGAATTATCATTTCTGCGTAAGCTACACCAGGTGGAAACAACTGTTAAAAGACCACATTGCGCCGTGTATAAAAGGCCCATGAACAAGAAGAAGAAGAAAAGGAAACACGTCTACTCTTTCATCTGCTCATCATTATCCTCTGGGACGGCATCGTCTCCCCATAGACCCTCGAGCTTGAACTCCTTCGCCCACTCGGTCACTATCTGCTTTGTATCAGCCGCCGGTCCGCTGCTCTCCCCTGCAGCATCGTCTTCTACGGCGGTAGAGACGGGCAAGGCAGGTGCCTCAAGCCAGCCCTGGATGCGCCCATCTCTCCAGTCAGTGATGACCGTCGTGGCTGCGCTGTTGATATTGGGCGTGCCTCCTCTGCCTAGTCTGCCTCTCCTGCGGGCAACTTGGATCAGAAAGTCGGTCGTCTTGTCCCCGTTTGTTGGGAACAGCGGAGGGATGCCGTAGAAGTCAAGCATCTTCGAAAGCAGGCCTTCAGACGCAGAGAGCCTCTTGAGCAGGAGTGTCACGGCTGGCACAGGGTCGGAAATCTGCTTGGGGGGTATAGCATTGAGAAGGATGAGGCGAGCTTGCTCCTTTATTTTTCGAGACTCAGATGACTTGGGCTTTTCGGCGTTGGGGAAGACAATTCCAGGCGAGTCAATGACCTTCAGCTTGCTGTCTAGTTTGACTTCACGAAGGCTTGTGGTAACTCCAGCCTCCGCGCCAACAGGGCATACGTTAGCATTGCCTCTGGTGACACGGCTGGTCAGCGAGTTGATCACCGACGACTTGCCCACGTTAGGATACCCAATCACGCCAACTGAGACGGCCCGTTTTAACTGCTTGTCATGTGCGTATGCCTTCAGGGCCTTGAAGAGCGTCTCTGAGGTCCCCTTGACCGTCAACTGTTTGTGGTCAAAAGTGTGCGCGTTTGGAGCTCCAGAGGACGCTCGGAGGGGGAGCGTAGGGAAATAGCGCCGTAGGTATACCAGCCATCCTTTCAACACTGGCGGAGGAACAAGATCGATCTTGTTTAGAATGAGGATAAGACGTTTCGATCCGTGGTCTGCCGCCATGATCTCGCGCTCCACCTCCTTTGACCGAGTTCCCTCAGGGTCTCGAGCATCAAGAACATAAAGTATCACATCCGCTCTGTCAATAACTTCCTTGAAGGCTTTATCGAATGCTCGACGTGAGCTTTCTTTTGTCGTGGGTATCACCGTGTCTTCAAACGTCACCCCACCGTCTTCCTCGTCATCCACCATGTCCTCGTCTCCGTGCTGATCCTCATACTCGGCTGCGCGAGCCTTTGCAGAGGCTAAAAGTGCAGCCATAGGGTTGGACTCCTCTCCTTCAACCTCCATATCATCGTCGTCACTCTCTATCAGTTCGTCGTCCTCATCGTCGATAAGATCGGCATTTTCCGTTATATCAACATCTCCAGCTTCCTCTACGTTTTGTGCCTGGCGTCGTAGCTTCGCCTCCTCGCGCAGTTTCTGTGCTTCTTCAGCCTTTATCCTTCTCTTTTCTTCGATCTCCTGTAGGAGTCTATCTTTATATGGGAATAAATTCGGGATGCCAGGATCCTTCTTGAGTTTTGAGCGCCATTGAGGATTCTAATTGACATCCACCAAGTTAGTACCATATTCCCAAAGCTCGGCTGTAATGACCAAAGTCTTATACAATGAGAATCACGAACCTTTTTGGCGAGCTTTCGGTCTTTTCTCTGCTTTGCGGCACTGGCTTTTTCGATCTTATGCCGTAGCCGAACCGGCGTCCGCTTTGACGACTTCCCTAAACGCACAATGAGAAATCGGAGCGCAATTTGTAGTCGTCACAAGGACGCGTACTCACCTAGCTTTACCATACTGTCTATCTCTTCCAACAGGACTTGCTCGAGTTCTTTTTCTTCCTCCTCTTCTTCCTCTTCTCTCCTCTTCTTTTCACCGCAGAAAAAAGATAAAAAATAAAAAATTATTTTAATGTGGGTCCAAGCTTGCCAAGATTTTGCTGATTAGAAAGTCTTGGCGATGTCGATAAGATAAGATCATGACTAAGCAGTCGTTATCTCGCTGAGTCATAATGTTGACCAATCAGGGGAGAGGGCCATGCAGGGTGGGATTTTTATATATAAAAGTCTTCCCCGATGGCGGGGAGAAAGAGACAACAAACTGGCAAAGTGGAAACAGAAGAGAGGGAGGATTGCAAGAAAAATATCCAGGCTCACCTTGTTTAAACTGCGATTTCGTTACATTTACCGTTTTGAGAAGTTTAATTAAACAAGAACACTTTACCTCCAAATCATCAGGGTCGGGATGGGCTCAACGGGGTCGTTCAGCGGACCTCGCATATCACTTACCTTCGATGGATTGCTCTTCGACTTCGATGGAACAATTGTCGATTCTACTGCCGGTGAGCCGCCTTTGCATCATACAGTCCTTCCCCTCACGTCAAATGTACATTTCTCCCCCAAGCTAATCATGCGGTTCTAGCGGTTGTGAAACATTGGCATATGTGAGTCTAGCGCTGCCACATCCCGCACTTCATGAGGGATAAACGCACGTCTTATCATTACCCCCAACATGCATAGGCATTGTTTTATTTGATCGTTCCCTTATCTAAGACTATGGTCTGGAAGAATAGGAGAAGAGATCGGAGTTGACCCGAAAGTGATCTTGCAAACCTCCCACGGCAGAAGAAGCATTGACATGCTTAAGATTCTTGCTCCTGAAAAGGCAACTTGGGAATGTGAGTCTTCACACCAGCACATATCCGCAGTCTTCCCCCCCATTGGATACCCCCGTGGGGGAGCGGAAAAAGAGGGAGGGGAAGAGAAGAAGAAAATCGGTAGAACACGGAAAGTCAGTATCTGACTATGGCGTAATTCACAGACGTTAGCATGATTGAAGGGCGAATCCCAAAAGACCTTGGAAACCATGCCACTGAGATACCCGGCGCTCGACGGATCCTCACCTCGTTAGAAGAGGCCGGAGCGCCGTGGGCGGTCGTGACGTCTGGCAGCAATGCGTTGATTACCGGCTGGCTCGGCGTCCTGCAGCTCGCACACCCAAAGTACCTCGTTGTTGCAGAGGATGTGCAGGTTGGCAAACCAGATCCTTCCTGTTACCTGCTAGGTCGTTCTCGGCTTGGCTTGGAACATAGTGATTCGATGCTCGTGATTGAAGATGCTCCATCCGGTGTCCGCGCTGGAAAGGCCGCTGGGTTTAAGGTTCTCGCGCTCGCCACAACACATGTGGTCGAAGAGCTGAAGGAGGCTGGGGCGGATTGGATCATCAAAGATCTTGACAGTGCCTCACTCAAGAAGTTCGCCGATGGCAAGGTTGAGATAGAAGTCTGGGATACACTTCAATAGCGCTTAGCCGCTTCGACAGGGGTCCTGGAGATAGGGTTATGATCGATGACCAGGTACCGACGACTGACATAACTTCCTTCGCACCCTCTAGCTTGGCTGATACGAACATCTGTCTTGCGTTGGCTCTCCCAGTGTTTGTTGCTTGTTAGTGAGATCAACACTTTGTTTTTTGTTCACGCCGTTTTGATAGACTAGTTTGCTTGCACTAAGGCTATGCGGTTCTTGGGCAAGGTGTCATGCACGCCCGAATTTGAACTAAGAGACTAGGATAGAATAGACTGCCTGAATCCTGTGGCCCAGTGTACAAGCCTATACCAGATACGTCACGCCTTGAGGTCTCGACCTCATCTTCCCTTACTGCGCTGTATCTGCACAAATTTTTGTCTTTTTTAAGGCTTGGGGTAAGTCGCCTGTGATGCGGAGCCAGTCTGTATCGTGCTAGAAACAAAAAAAACAAAAGACAGTTGAGCGTCGTGCTAGCTAGCGTCCGTTCCCTCGTCACGCAAAACCGATGTGATGGAATTCCGCGTACGCCTTAATGGCTGTGGCAAAGGGTACAACAGAGCTGAGACGTTCGACCTTTTGCCCTGTGTCTCATATATCTGCAGGTCATCTATATTGCACCCACATACTCCGTACGGATACATATATAAGTACGTACGTATGGAGTACTCCGTACTCTCTGTATGATAGACAGGGAGCGAGCAGGGAGAGAGAGAGGGAAAGGTAGCCCCATCTAATCCTGCATCTGCATTACAGACACATCGTCGTGTGACTCTAAAGCCAGCCACCACTTTTCTCGCATGCATACCGATGGGAAATGTGTGCTATGATCCCTTCTTCGTCTCTTCATCTCTTCGACTGCGGAAATGCTCCACACACACACACACACACATAAGTTGTTAGTGCTCTGTATGGAGTGTACGGAGTAGTTATGTTTCTCCAGTATAGATGGCAAAAAGAAGAGATCGACAGCCACAGGACCGACAAAGTGACACCTGCATGAGACTTCCCAAGGGGCAGGAACTGGCGAAGTCCATTTCGTCACATCCCATCGATGTGGTTTTCTAGTGTCTTCCCGATCTATTCCCCCAGCGGAGCATAAATGAATAGTATGCAAACTAGGTTTTGTGCCGTGAAGCTGATCACTCACATGGCTTGGCGTATAAAAGTGTGGGAAGTGTGGGAAGTGTGGGAGTGTGGGAGTGTGGGAGGCAGTTTGGTTCTGGTGTGTTGATCGGATCATCACCGGAGAATTTCTAGTTGCTAAAGAAGGCCTAGTTGCTGTTGCTGTGTGCATTCTGTGTCGTCCACCCAGAGAAAGGGAGTAATCCATGGCTCTTGACATTCCCAAGATTCACATATGGCGGTACCTGCCATGTATATAATATCATGATATACCCTATCTCGGTGATCTAGCACGCCTCAATAGCCCTTCAGTTGCGAAAGAGGCTTGAAAAAAAGCCCCCCATTCGCTACCCTTCGGCTTTCTCTCGCCTTCTCTGATCATCGCCCTGCGCTGAATATCATCCATCAAGGTGCATGGCAAGAGATAGATGGTATGTATATACATTATACGGATGCGTGGTATCTTTTTTGTATGGAGGTGCAGACTCTTCTGCAGAATGGAGATCGGCAGCTTGCCTCCATGTTTTCCGCTCCCACGGAGAGAAGAAGGAAGTGGTGCGTAAGAAAAGAGAACAAGCCCCTGAGCATCTCTCTCTGAATGCAGGATCACAGAGAAGGCATCATTTCTTTTTTCACCCTCATCCCTATCAGTTTCTTTTTTATGTAGTCTGCATATGCCGGGAGATAGGCTGCTGTTGAGTTCGCCATACTGTGTCGTTGCGCAGAGTGTAACTTTGGGGCAAAAGTCGGGACACCCACTCGAGAGGCACGAAATCAAGACATTCTCTCGCCTAGGATGCAGCTCCCACCGTCAGCGAGCCCTCTTCTCTCGCGTTGCTGGGTGCGCAAAATGCGAGATATCATCTTCCGCTGTTGTCTGAGAATCCCGAAGTCCGAAATAACTTCTGATGTGTCCCAAAGGAGCGAAATAGAATTATTACCCGGTAAAAAGAGTTTGGTATTTGAGCATAAAATACGAGGCATGTACCTGATATTTCAATACGGCTTATGTAATTGATTAGTCAGTAATCACATGATGCACCCTTTTGGGAAAAGCAAAAACATTCGACGAAAGAAGCAAAAATGACGACGAGGAAACAAAAACACCGGCAGCAGCAGACATCAGCAGCAAGATGCGCAGGGCGAATAAGCAAAAGATGGCCAGGACGGGTGCACCACCACTCGTCCGATATCCAACCGGCAGCGGGTACATAGCGTACACGGCACAGTGCCCAGCACAACAGGCAACAAGACTTTTGAAATCCCAAGTTCATGGGTACCAACCCTGCCAACGATCGTCCCACAAGCGCAAATCTCCTTGTCCAATAACGCACGGGAGTAATCCGCCCCTGGCTTGGAGATGGAGTCTACGGGTCGAAAGGGGCCTCCCGTAGCCCAATTGGCAGGGAACTGGCCCATCAGGATTGCTTGCCCCAGACAAGAAGAGACAGCTCAAAAGCGAGGGAGCTGCACCAAATAAAATAGCACTCGATGGGGACTGAGGAGGGGGGAAAAAAGGAAGAAGAAGAGGCCGTGAAAGAGAGAATAACAGAGAAAGTGGCCAGGCCTCCAGGCCTGTTCCAAGCGTCCCCTCCCTCAAGGCAGGCGAGTGGGTTTAGATCAGTCACCTTTTTTTCTTCTTCTCTCTCGTCTTTGGTTTTTGCGGAGTCACCAGGGCAGAGAACGAGAGTGGGAGAGCAAAGGTCAACTGGACCCGTTGTGAGACTCTGTAAAGAGAACAGCCGGCCAGATCCAGGTTCAGGGAGGTTACGGGGCACTGGTATACGCAGACAGGAGACGCTCCCAAGTGGATGGCGTACGAGCTTACTTTGAATGCAGGAACAGCCCGGAATTCGAAGTGTGACCGGGTCTGCAGCTTGGTGTTCTTTCAGGAATGCCCTGCACACTTTCTGTGCTTCAATTCGGGAGAGTGATTTCCCCCAAGAGAAACAGCGGAATCCTCCGTATCTTCTCTCTTGTATCTGCACAATACAATGCACGATGCTATCTCGATCACTTTTGTCTTGGAAGGAAATCTGCGCTCTGGCATCGTCCTTTCAACTGAGTTCCAACTTTGTTTTTTTCTTTTTCCTTCCCTTTTCCATTTTCTTTTTCCTTTTCTCTTTCTTTCCTTTTTCCCTCCCTCTCTCTTTTTGTTCCTTTTTCTCTCTGCTTCCTCCCTCTCAATCCCTTTTCCCTCGCATTTCTCGTCACCCTTGGCGATCGGTTCCCCCCGATATTAGCGTGGAGAGATGAAGCAATCCATGACCTAAGAGGGCTGCGTATCACACGAAAGGGTTACTCGTTGCCTGTTGCCAATGATGTTTTACTCTGTACAGGAACCTCGGCCATCGTTCCCGTCCCTTCTTACCCATGGCCAAAGGTATTTGTCACAACTCCATAGCATACGAAGCACTACCGTCATCGCCAGCAGGGTTTGCTCTGACTCTCTTTTTTAACGCTCAACACCGTTAGTCTGCATCTTTAGTCGCAAAAAGAGGGTAACCTAAAAGATGGCCAACAGGGATATCTGCTTGCCACTTTAGGCTGGCTCGTTTACCTTTTCGCCTAACCATCCGTTGGAGCCTTTTACCTTGCTGTCCCTGCGGTATCAACGGAGTCCCTTGGACCTGCCCTTGGAGGTTTATCTGGGGTTGTGTCAACAGATCCCTGGCCCTAAAGATGCTTGGCATAACAGGCTTGCTCTGATGCTGCAGAAGCCCCAGCGCAGAACTGTGATGAAGTGGATCTTCCCAGCGGGGTGCGGACTGGTGGATTGGTGGGCTCCCTGTGGTTGCTCAGCCATACGACGGAAAAAGGGGCACCCTTCTTAGCCGTACCTGATGTTACACGTCCGCCCAGGCACCGTTATTACAATACACCAGACCTTGGTACGCGGCTTGTGTGATGGAGCCGCCCCTGCTGTCCGCTGAACGCCCCCTTGCGCCGACGGCGAGGTCTGGCTTACTTCTTCTCTCCTCGTCGCCCCATCTCTCGTCAACCTGTTGTCCTTCGACCGCCAGCCGTCTGCGTGGGAGCCCGTCGTTCATTATCCGACCTTTCTTTTAGTATTAAGATCACCGTCAGTCCTTTTTTATTTTTATTTTTGTTTTTATCTCTATCTCTGATTCTATCTCGTCGTTCCTTAAAAACTCCTCCTTATTTACTACTGGTATTCACTGCTTGAACACACCACCACCACCACCACCACCACCAACACCCTTGCAGGATCTAGCTACAGAACAGCTACCTATTACTCTCATTCAACAGCATCAAACTCATCACGTCGACAGCACTCGACTTTTCAATCTCTTTTTCCCTCTCATATTTTCGTTCTTGGTATCTTGTCTTTTTGTTTTCGTTTTAACTGGAGGGACGCCTGCCCTTCCAACACAACGTTCTACTCCCTACCGACTACCGATCTCGGAACCGGCAACCATGAACTACCTCCAGACCCCGTTCCAATACGCGATGCCGATGGATCAGCCTATGGGTTATGGCATGCCCGTCTCACATCATCCCTATGAGCAGCCAATGGATCAATGCTACATTCCTTACCACCAGAATGATATTCATGGATTCTACACAACTGGTGCCATCGAGGAATATGAGGAATATGTAGAGAATCTGTCACGGCCCCGTTTGACGAAGGAGCAGGTTGAGATCCTAGAGTCACAGTTCCAAGCTCATCCAAAGCCCAACAGCAATACGAAACGGCAATTGGCCCTGCAGACCAGCTTAACCTTACCTAGAGTTGCGGTATGATATAGCCTCACCCGATACATGAATATGTACCATTCAAAGCTATGTACTTACTTGGATATAGAACTGGTTCCAAAACCGAAGGGCAAAGGCCAAGCAGCAGAAACGAC